GTTAAAGTTACAATCAAACACAGTTTTCCGTAGAACAGTAAAGCACCCGGCAGAGGTAAGTGAGGTATTGGCTGTGCAGCATTTTCGGCCTTCTCCCACCTGGCAAGCGCACACGTGGGCCCTGCCCCATCTGCAAGGGGCAGGTGGGACATGCAGGGTGGGCGCTTTGCTGGGCCCGTGCCACCTTAGTGCCAAGATCAGCAGTACTCTCCTGCCCCAGATCAAGAGATACATTAACACGAGTCAGTCCCACAGAATAAGTCACATACACGATACATACAGAGAATTCACGTGCGTGTGCAAACACACTATTTCTGAATATATGTATATATGAACTCTTCTCTCTGTACGCCTACTAGACACCATAACATCACCTTTTTAATTATATATTTTCACCTATTGTTTGCCTAAGTTGGCTTTTCTAGTGTATGGTCCTTTTCCATTCATCCTTCCCCTCTCCTGTGATGTGAAGGGGATAAAATCATTGAGCAGCAGCAATCCAGCTTTGAAATGGTCTGGTACATTTCCTCTCACTGCCTCTGTTTCTTTTGTACAGTAAAATAACACCCCTGTGGAATTTGTCTGCGAAGAATGCCAAAAGAAATAAGGTGATTCAAAAGGAGAATCGGAGATACATTTACTGTTTCTGTCGGGTGCACAGTGTGAATTAAAAAACCAAAGGCCTTTGTGTGTGCGCGTCTCTGCGTGTGTGTATGAACCATGGATGTTCTGATGACACAGCTGCTGGTATCTGCTCCCCCAGTACACCTGCATCTTTCTTACAGCAGAGAAGTCTTTTCTTTTTTTCTAAAAACTTACTGTCTGAGGGAGCTCTTCATGAAACACTAGACAAATGTTCCTATTCCCACAGTACCGAGGAGCAGCTGTGGCACTGCTCATGTGTCCATGCTCATCTCCTCTCCAGATGTTGCTCCTCTCCCCAAACACCTGGCCTCCTGCACAATGTGTTTGCAGGGGCTGGGCAAACTGAGCTTCACAGCACATCACACCTTTGTTGCTCTGGAGTTAGCGAAGAAAAAAATTCCATCCCCAACCCCAACTATTTGCCAGGTGAAAGGTACAAATCAAGACACATCAGGTGTGTTGGAGCCCCTGAAAAAGGAAACCCAATGTGCTGGAAAGGTTTCTTGTTTACGTATGTGCAAGCTAACAGGGGTGATCAGTCTGTACTGAAATGGAAATTAGGACATTGGTTTGGGACCCAGCATTTGAATTCTTTTTCTCCATTTGTTTTCCTAATGCTCCTCTCCCACAGCACAGTAGTAAGTGGAGAAGTATCAGCTGCCAGACAGTGTAGTCAGACCACTTGAAAGTAGAAGGACCAGACTTGTTCTACTGGGCTCTACCCAGCAGAGAGTGGTGAAGAAGAGTGTTTTGCAGGGAAGGATGAAGGCCTCACTTGCTGTTTGATACAGCACTGATCATCAGATGGAGGAAAAATACTTCTTCTAAGGCACTTGTTCAAAGTAAAAAAAAGCACAGCTCATAAATAAAACTTGGGGTTTTTGCTACTGATCAGGAGCAGCGCAGCTTTGCTCCAAAGGGAATATGGC